CAAATAATGAGAAGATTTGTTTCATGATAGCAATAAGTACAACTATATCTGGTCAGGCACAATTACCAGGACTTCTGGGAGCTGCATCTGCTCCCTCTGAGAATTAGAGTAGAATTCCTTGTCTTCACCCACAGACTGTTTGTGACATCAATAGAATGGATGGAGATAATGTGAATTTAATATTAACCCATTCAGAGCCATTCACTTATATGGCATTTTCCCATTGCAAACAATTTTCCCCATTGTTAATAAGTTATAAAATCATGTATATAACTATGGGCAGAATTTCCTCCTCCTTGGTGTGCTGAGATTAATGTCAAGTATGATAGCAAAATAGGGTGAGAATGATAAATTCAGATTCTTGACATCAAGAATTAGTTTCCCAGTTTCCCATCAAGGTTTAAATGGCAACTTCAGAGTCTCTGTCTTACTTCCATGATTTTGCATCTCATTAAACCCGCAACTTGTCCTACTTACATATCACTTCCAATTCTCCTCTGCTCCATTCCACAGCCACCATCGTCCTCAACCCTTCAGTCAACTCTGCATCACTAAACCTGTTGTCAGACCAACTCAAACATCACTTCAGGCTTTCAAAAATTTACTTTCGAGTTGGAAAAATCTACAACTTTGCATGCTTCTACCAGATTGTTTCGTGAGCAGGGACAGCCACACATCTTATGCTTCTGTACAGGATGTTTTTGATCTGACATTTAGTCAAATGTCTTATAGCTCTTAGTCTGCTTTCTTAGCAATCACTCACTTTAGCTCTTATTTTATCCTCAGCTTCACATTGTTTTCATAACACACACTCATATACTGCCAGTCTCGGTGGTTTAGGTTGCTTTTTAGGTAAAGGGAGAGGCAAGCTACTTGTCATGAAGGGAAGCACTGAATAGTCAATTTATTAGTCAGACAATGTCTGGACATTCCACTGTGTGACACTGCATCACATTAGTCTCAGAGCTGCAACATGTGCCAGCTGCTCACATGACAAGAATGCACTGCATGCATGTTAAGACTGGAGTGAAATTAAGGGAGACTGCAGTCAGTGAAGGGGTACTGACACAATTAACCAAGGGGTTCGCCTGATTACACTACAGGGGTCTGGCCATTATCAATACTGCTTAATTGTAGGTGCTCTGGAGATTATAAGTAGGTCAGCCGGGCACTGTTGAGACATTAATTTGAGAAGGAAGGCCTGTTTTCCCCACAGTGATACAAAAGAATGCAGTGGAGTAATTAGTGGTCATGAGCAGGAGAGTCGGTGAGGTGTCTGCAGTGAGCAAATGGAAAGCTCAGAGGTCATGAAGTGTTACTAGTTTGAGAGGATGAGATCAAGGGTTTGATCCCTTGAATGAACATGCTACATGCTGCATGAAATATGAAGAATTGTATCCATGAGTTTTGTGAGATACATGTGCAGTGACATTTAGAGTGAGCTGGCTCTGTGAGTTTGTGATAGCACAGAGAAGATGATGGTTGTTGCCTTGCAAAGCTTAGTAAATCATTGACCTTCTTGCTGGGTGTCCCTTTAGATGTGGGACATAGCTGTGAACTCATGTCACAATTTCTGTTCAGGCTGACAGGTCTATTGACATGGCATCCTTTGGAGGTCAGCAGGAAATAGTACTGCCATCCGTTCCAACACCCTGTCCACCAACACCTCCAGACTCTGTCCTGGAAAAGGAGAGATAGCTTGCCTTTCCTCTGGGACACTTCCAGGATCAAGCTTTGCAGATTGAGAGGTTGTTTCTGGCTTTCTTGTCTGAAGTAGCGTGTAATTGGGTTTTAAATATACATCAGAGGCAAATAAATTGAAGGTCTTGCCAGTGGCAAGCAAGTCCACTCACATGCGATGTGATTCCCTGAGAAATGTCCCCAATGGCTTGGTTAAGCCGAAACAGCATATCGCAGGAGAAAATTCACCCCAGGCCATGACAGACCAGACAGCATGAAACTCGCTTGCCACCACACTTTCATTACAAATGGGAAAATTCAGCCCTATACCTCATATACCAATACCTCATCTCCCCCCAAGTACATAGCTTTCCAAATACAGGCAGTCTGCATGGGACTTTTCTCAGAACACATCCTCTTCAGACTTGGAAGAATAGTAGGTCTCTTGCTTGAGGACTGTTGAACCCTGGTTCTGAATTGTTTCACTTCTGGAGGGTCTTTCATCTCTTGGATATTTGTTGCAGAAGATTTCTTTCTTTGTAGATATTATTTGTCTATTACTTTGTCTGGAGGACCCTTAATCTCCTGAATTTCCTTTCTGAAAAACAACTGTTCCATTGAAAGAAGTATTCCTTCTTATACTATCTTGGATTTCTGGGTCAGACAATCTCTTCCAAATTGGAAGAGATAATTTTTTTTCATATCCTGGATGCTTGGACCAGATAGTAGTATCTTCATGACTGTGCCCTACATCTGTGGAAGTTCGTCTGGCTCCCATGGAATATATGCTGTTTATCTGTCTTGAGTTGTTGATTAGTCTGGACATACTTAGTTGCTGTTGTGGTTGTTTGACCGGTGAAGTAAACCTTTTCAGACTCTTAGTCGCCTTACAAAATGATTGCTGCTCAATGAGCACCATAGCTGCGCTGGCACTGGCACTGACCATTCTACTGTCTGAAGATGACCAGTTAAAGGTACCTGAATAAGCCCAAGTAGGTTCTGCTACTCATTTTTGTTTTTAGGATTGCCACTTTTCTAAAGTGTGTCAATCCTGTATAAATTGCAAATTTCACAACGAGATATGAGACCTTTTGAGACCTCTGACCACCACACTGCTGACTGGGCCCTGGCCATACTCCTGGCAATGCCCAAGTGTCCCAGTGTATCCTTTCCAATGCACCATCCAAAAAGGAAGCTAAAATAACTCTAACATTAGCTAACATTAATTCTGATTTCTGTCCACAGATGCTGCCAGACCTGCTGAGTTTTACCTGCAACTTTTGTTTTTGTTTGTCAGTGGACTTGTAGTCCAGCATTCTTCAACATAGGATTGATGTAGCATGTGTTGGTTACTGTTCTATTCTTGTTGAATTTGGTTGAGCCTCTTTTGGCTTGTTGGCCACCGCCTATGCCTTTGTAGGTAACTTCAACAGATTCTCTCTTTTTGGGTTTTGTCATGTGTCTAGAAGGTCCAATGAAATCTAATGGCTTCCCTTTGACTGGATAGTTGACAATGGTTTGTTTCTGGACCAGGTGCTCTCTGCGAGGTAGAGAAACTCCTTTTCTCCGAAAGAAGTCGATGATATGACGTGCATGTAGGCTCAAAAGCGAAATTGTTTTACTGAAAACAAGATACATATCTTCAAGTCACTTACATATGTTGAATTGTAATGTAGCTTATGGCATTCCCACTGTTCTGGCCATTATTCCATTTTTGACATGTAGTTTAATCTTTATAAACTGTAGCTCTTGTTTCTTCAGTTGTGGTAACTGATCTGATAAGAAGTGACCTCAGCAGTGGTATCAAGCTTGGATTTAACAAGATATCTATTAATATAAGCAAGTTCTGTTCCCTTTTTTACTCTGCATTCCTTTAATACTGTATTGAATTCTTCAATGAAGCTTTAAATTGTACTGCTGGCTATTCTGTAGTAATTTACTGCTTTCAAGCTTTTTAAAACCATTTCTTTGTAATGTTGGATCTCTGTACCGCTTATTGGGTTTCACCACTTTTTTCAGGGTCTTTCCACTTGTTTTTTTAAACATTTAAAATCGTGGTTACCTGCTTCTAGAGTTTTCCCCACCGTTTGCAGCCACAATGGCATTTTCCCGCTTCTTTCCAGGTAAAGTGGATGTTTTCTCTTTAAACACTAAGCCCTATAGTCGACACACATTTTAAATAGATCTCTGGCTGCAGCCTTTTTAAACTTTTCAGCTGAAATCAAGGCTTAATTGAAGAGTCCCATTCCTTTTTATCTTTTATTTCTTATGATTTTACTTATGATGGACATACTAGATTTCTTAGAATTTATTTAACCTGGGAATGAGAAAATTTAGAGGCCTTCTTGATTCTCTAGGTCTGTTTTAAATTGGTTTTCTGGCCCTTTCAGTTTTTCTTGTAGCTGTACTTCATGAAGCCTAATGTCTGTGGCAATGATGCTCATTGTGAGAAATGTGAACTCTTTATATTTTCCTTGATTTACCTATCTGGTCTGTGCACCAATTTTCATAAAGTTTCCACTTTTTCCTTAGGAATCTCTAATTTTATTTTCTGGCACGTTTAGTTGCACCTCATAGAGCTTCTTTCACTAAAGTCTCTGTATTTTCTAAATGTGGCTAGCAATTTCTCTTTTCCTAGCCTACACTCCTAATCCTGTAATTCTTACCATCTTCTTGAAGATGCTTTGCCTTTGGAGTGCTAAGCCTGCCTTCTTGCAGCTTCCATTGCTGCTGTGATCTCTGCTGCTGACTTGCTGTCTTCTTAACGTGGTGATGCTCTTTAAAATGGGAAACTCACGTGCTTGAAATTTGTTTTTCCTTCTGGATTTCTTACAGTTGTGATGGGAGTCATTTATGCACTGCTGCAACTATATGGTATATTCCCAGATGACCACTGCTGGTACCTTGTGGTATTTGCTGCCTTTACAATATGTGGTACTGAGTAAGGGTTGTGTGATGTCATTTGCTGCTACCAGTCCTCCTTTGTCTTTGATTTGTCTTGGGCCTATCTAGTGATTACTGGGAGAGGACAAACTACTGTAGAGTATTTACAGAAGAGGCAGTGCTTTCCGATAATAATACAACTGCAGTTGGCCTAGGACCTTAGGCAGCCATTTCAGATACACCTGTTCCCTCTGAAAACTGGAGTAGAATATCTTGTCTCACCTGCAGACTGTGTGTAACATTGCTAAAATAGGTGGAGTCAATATAACATGAGTTTTAATTCCTTTAGAACCATTACCTTATACAACAAATTGCTATGCCTTTAACTTATTAAGTTCATTATCTTTCATTAATTTACCTTGTCTTTCAAACAACAGGTGTCGAATTGGTTTGGTAATAAGCGAATCAGGTATAAGAAAAACATCGGCAAATTCCAGGAAGAGGCCAATCTTTATGCAGCCAAAACTGCAGCAGATGCCACAACAGTGGTAGCCCACCAAGGCAGTCAGGCAAACTCCCCTTCCACACCCAATTCAGGTAAGCCTCCCTGACGATCTTGCATGTATAAATGCAGAGAATCAGAATGCTACTTGTGGAATGAGTAGTTGGGATGTTCCAACATTCAGTAACAGAGAAAGCACCATTTATTTTCTAAGAATGTTATTCAAATTAAATGTTAGATTTTGAATCATCCCATTTGTTAAAAGACAGTTACATTGGGGAATAAGCATTACAAACACTGTCTAATTCAGTGAGGTCTATTTTTTCTTGAGATGTGTAATTTGTTGTCAAAATGAGGTTATTTATATTATTTAGTTAATTTAGAAGGATTGACGGCTTATCTAAAGTACACCTCATAATGTGTCATAATGCGGGTGTCATCAGGGTTTATCTGGCTATATATTTTAAAAATAGATGCAGCGTTCCTCTGAGTATCAGCTGAAATAGTCCACAGTATTGTGTTTATTCGCCGTGCGTTAAAGTTCTTCCAGTCCAGAACTCCTGTATTTGTACCCATGGTACTTTTTAAAGAATATTTTCTGACAGAAATATGCAAGAATAATTCATTGAATGATATTGTGAAGATGCTTAAGCTACATATGTCTTGGGAGGTAAATTATGTTTGCTTATTCCATAATTCACAATGTGGTGACTATATTTATCTACACAACACTACAGTAGGCACAGTAATAAAGTTGTCATGTACTTTTGTGACCATTGGCCAAGTAATATTGTGAGCTTAATTTTGGGATTATGAAATTAGTTTATTTATTATCTACTGCCTGGTGACTGCATCCAATATAATGTACCAAAAATCTTAGACAAGGATAAAAATTGAGTCACCATCATGTTCACGTAAAGTGAAGCATGTATTCTTCTGTGTTAGTATGTTTTATTGATTTATACTGTGGTTTATCTGCTGAAACTCATACTTAAAGGCTGTCTGGAAGACTTTCCTACTGAAATAATAATTGGTAGCAGGAAGATGGATGGGTTCAGCTGTGGAAGTGGTTATCGAGTCTGTCTCCTATCATGGTATCAGTGTAGAGAAGCAACTTGGAATTTGTTCAGTCCACTCTTAATCTTTCTATTGATTTAGATTTGGGCGGAAAATGAAGCACAAAATATAGTTCCCTAGTCAGTTGAATTCAATAATCTGAGCTAACAAGTATGAAAAATCGTCATTATTTGAGAGATGTGGCAGAGAGGTGAGATACAGAAAGTACAATAACCCCCTTCCCCTTGAAAGGTAAAGGTAAAGTCACCATAGTCCCAGAGGACTATAGGACTGCTCTCTCATTAGAGAGAAAAGAGTGGTGGTGATTTAATCTGAGGGTCACTGTGCCTCAAAGTGAAGGAAGAGATTAAGAAGAAGAATCCTATATGGTAACCTCAGCCTGTATAGGAATTGAACCAAAGCTGTTGGTGTAACTCTGCAAGAACAAACCTGCCAACCAATGCCCCCCTCCCCAAAAACAGTTGTTAACAATTGTTGATTTGGATATTGGATATGTAATGCAGTGCACTGCATTCAATGTTTTAGGACACAATTAACATAATGTCAACCGCATAACAGAGAAGGCAGCATGTATTTTTAATTCCCACAAATTGGCTTTTGTTTTATATTCTCTTTTGTACATGTGCCATAGATATCATCTCTCCTGAAGGTTTGCCAAACAACAAGTACGCATGATACCTCCTGGTGCTTCATGTACAGGTCATTTCAACAAAGTTACCCAGCCAAAAAAATTGATGCACCTGACTGCATTTCAGATCTGTTGCCATTTGTTGTTGGTCCTGTTGGGGTTTCTTGTTCTTTCTTGTTGCTCAATGTTTTTCTGCTGACTGGGATACAACTAAACTTAGTTAGTTTGAAAATGCCATTATATTCATTGACTTTGTTCTTGTTTTGTTTCTTATTGATTATTGATAAGCATTTGTTAAAAGTTTCCTTATATATCTTGGTGCATGTCTGCACTGCCTAGGCTTTACATGTAGTTTAATTTGAAACCATGGTTCATTCATGGGAGAAATTATTTGTTTGAGACTCTTCTGTGGCAACTACCAGAAGAGATTGTTTTCTATAGATTATGAATTGGAGATCATGGGGAAAATATTTCCATCTCTGGATTCCCACAAGGGCTTCCCTAATAGTTAGTTATCTGCATTTATGTAGGTAAATGTCATCATTACTACACCACAGAATTCTACTCGCATTCTATGAAAAAGCTGTTTATAAAAACTCTAGCTTCTAGACTTCCCCCTTTGTCATAAAGCTTAATTAGTGTTATTTACTTTAAACATTACAAACTTTTGAGCTGAACCTAATACAAAGGAGTCTTCCTCAACTCCGGCTAGTGATAGATAATGAAACTTCCTTGATACCAGATACTGATACAGAGAGTGGATCTTCCTTAACACCACTTATTGGTACAAAGAATGGATTTTCCTCAACACCAGATATTGATACAGAGATTCTTCAATGTGTAACTCATCTGATCTACTGTGCCATATAACTCTAACTTTCTGATTTTAAGAAACATAGCACATCAGATTTATTTCAGTATCAGATCCTTGTGACTGCTGTCACAGCATAATTCAATCCGAACTGTCATGCTCCTCTCTCGTGCTAAAGCTGTATTTTACAGCTGAACCAATCCAGTCCTCATTGATTTCCCCTCAGGAACTGGATACCTAATTTAATGTTGCTCTCAAGAGCCTGGGAACTGAGGCTAGTTGTTCCTTTCTTCTGGCAGTTGACCTTAGACTAGCTTACTCAGAACCAATTGAGAAACAGATTCTCAAGTCTCTTTGATGCAGTTACTCACTATTTTAGCAATCAAGCCATTGCGTCACCTCAAACTTTAATATATTTTTTACATTGACTCACAAGGTCTTCATTAGCCCACTTCTTCAGTGTTAGTTTGAGTTTATAATTGTTATGAGATAGGGAAATTTACCTTTTAAGAGTTGCCAAAAGTAATAAAGTGCTCCCATTTCATGGCACTCTATTTCATTGAGTAGAATTAACTAAAATAGAAATAACTAGCACCAAAAGGCAATGTGTATATTATCTCAGTTCTTTGGGAGGGAAATACTGTGTCTTTACTAGTGCAGGGAAATCTCTATCTGGAGAGGAATATGCACATAGTAGTGCTCTTATTCACTTAGTATTTATAGTAAAGAGCAAAGAACAGTACAGCACAGGAATAGGCCTTTTGGCCCACCAAGACTGCGCTGACACATGATGCCTTTCTAAACTAAAAACCTTTTGCCTCTATGCAGTCTGAATTCCTCTATTCCTTGCCTATTCATATATCTGTCAGAAAGCCTTTTAAATGTTGTTATTATATCCACATCCATTACCTCCTCTGGCAGCACATTCCAGGCACTTACCACTCTCTGTGTTAAAAAAAACTTGCCTTTCACATCTCTTTTAAACCTTCCTTCTTTTACCTTAAAGTAATTGACATTTCTATCCTGGTTAAAAGACTTGAACTCTCCATTCTATTTATGCCTCTCATAGTTTTGTAAACTTCTATCAGGCTGCCCCTCATTCTCTGACATTCAAGTGAAAACAAACCAACTTTGTCCAATCTCTCTTCATAGCAAATACCCACCAAACCAGGCAACATCCTGTTAAGCCATTTCTGTACCCTCTCCAAAGTCTCTACATACTTTTGGTGGTGACCAGAACTGTACACAATATTCCAAATGTGGCTTAACTAAAGTTCTATACAGCTACAACATGACTTACCAAATTTTTCACTCTATGCCCCATGCAAAGAAGGCAAGCATGCATTTGCCTTCTTGACCAGCTTATCCATTTGTGTTGCTACTTTCAGGGAACTGTGGGCCTGTACACTAGATCCCTATGTATGTTGATGTGACTAAGGGCTGTGCCATTTTCTGCATACTTCTCTTCTGCATTAGATCTTCTAAAATGCGTCAACCTTGTGTTTGTCTGGATTAAATTTCGCCTGCCATTTTTTTCACCCAAGTCTCCAGCCTATATATATCCTGCTGTATTCTGTGGCAATCCTCCTCACTACCTGCAGCTCCTCCAATCTTTATGTCACCCGCAAACTTACTAATCAGGCTACCTACATTCTCCTCCAAATCATTTATATATAAAGCAACAGGGATCCCAGCACTAATCCCTGCAGAACACCATTGGACACAGATCTCCAGTCAGAAAAACACCCTTCCATCACTTCTGTCTGCCTTCTATGATTAAGCCAGTTCTGTATCCGTTTTACCAGATCCCATGTGACTTCACCTTTTGTGTCAGCCTGCTCTGAGCGACCTTGTCAAAGGCCTTGCTAAAGTCCGTTTAGATAACATGGACCGCCCTGCCCACATCAATCATCTTTGTCACTTCCTCAAAAAAGTCAAACAAGCTTGTGAGAAATGACCTTCCGCACACATTTCCCTTATCGCTAATAAGTCCATATCTTCCCAAATGTGAGTAAATCCTATTCCTGAGAATCTTCTCCAGTAATTTCCCTACCACTGACGTCAGGCTCATTAGCCTGTATTTTCCTGATTTGTCCCTGACACCCTTTTTAAACAAAGGAACAAAGTTGGCTATTCTTCACTCTTCTGGGACCTCTGCTGTGACTAAAAGCAATACAAAGATTTTGTACAAGGCCCCAGCAATTTCCTCACCTGCCTCCCTCAGCATCCTAGGATAGATCCCATCTGGTCCTGGGAACTTGTCTACCTTAATACTTTTCAAAACACCCAACACTTCTTTTTTATATTGACATGCCCTAGAAAATCAACATACCTCTCCCAAGACTCACCATCCACCATGTCCTTCACCTTTGTGAATATCGATGCAAAGTATTCATTAAGGACCTTGACCACTTCCTCCAGCTCCATGCATAAATTGCCTCCTTTTATCCTTGAGTAGCCCTACACTTTACCAAGCTACCTTCTTGCTCTTTATATACCTCTAAAATGTTCTGGGATTTCCCTTAATCCTATTTGCCAAAGACATTTAATGGGCTCTTTTAGCAGCCCCCCCTCCTTGT